GTCAGGACTCAGGTCGGAGCTCAGGTCGGAGCTCAGGTCGTCTTCGGCGTGTGAGGTGTAGCTCTGGTAGAGTTCTTGAGTCTGGTCTTGAGTCTGGTCTGAGTCTGGTCTGGATCTGGGACTTCGTCTGCATCAGGAAAACATAAAACAAAAGAAAGTGAAAGCTGCTCGTGTCTGTCACACTCAGGTCGCCTCAGGTCGCCTTCGTGGGGTGGTACGTCACCATGGCAACACCGTGCAGAAAACGACTCTGACACTCTGGAGTTTTCTGAGTGGGTCGACCTGGAGTCACTGGACCAGAGTTCATGTTCTTCAGTCAAACTAATGATGTGTTTTATGACTTTGTGAAACTGTGTCATTAAGATAAACACGGAGCTTTCCCCGTCGCCACGGCAACACAGTGAAAAACATGATTAAATATAAAAATAATGTGACTTCTTAAAGAAAAATATCTTTCTGGAATAATCTCAGTGTGTGTGAACCGTGTGACCTTTCCTCCGGTTTAAACCTTTGAAAACTAAATCACAAATTTAATTGTGGTCGTTAATATTTACCCACAATCCCCCTGTGATCGTACCTTCAGTTTTTATTACAGTGTCAGAATCAAACATCCAAGCCACAGCGCCCCCTGGAGGCTCGTCCTGCCCCATCTGCAAACGACAACACACGGACCAATCAAAATCCACGAAAAACAAACACGGACCAATCAGAATCCAGCACACACACACGGACCAATCAGAATCCAGCGCACACACACGGCCCAATCAGAATCCACCACACACACACACACACACACGGACCAATCAGAATACACGAAAAACAAACAGACCAATCAGAATCCACCACACACACACGGACCAATCAGAATCCACGAAAAACAAACACGGACCAATCAGAATCCACGAAAAACAAACACGGACCAATCAGAATCCACAAAAAACAAACACGGACCAATCAGAATCCATGCTGGTTCAGAATTTAGTCTGTAAACAGTTGTGTTTGAGAAGACTTTTTACAATTTTATAAACTTAAATTTGAACTAAATCAGACTTGTTTTTATTACAAGAGTGTTCAGAGAGACACTAGTAACACTAGTTTGAGTTAAGTTAAAGTCATGATCACTGGACCTTCATGACAGGAGGAAGAGCACAAACCTCTTCTTCTTCCTCTTCTTCGTCGGAGGTGATTGGTGCACGTGAAAAGACGGCCGGCACTGCGGTGGGTTTGAGAAACGGTTTGATCCTGGAGTTGGTGAAGTCGGCCGGGCTGAAGTGGTCGCTGCAGATCATGCGGTTGCGCAGAGACTCGCGCGGCGTGTCCGGGTCCAGTCCGGCCGCGCGGAGCCACAGTTTCAGTCTTTTCTTGTCTTTTAGTGGAAAGTGGTGGAAACTTTGTGGAGTCCATTTGCGAGCTTTATTTTCACAGTTGTTAAAGGAACACTGATTCACCATGGTGCTGCGGGACGGTTTTATAATCCACTGATCGACACAACAGGAGCAGGACGACGAGTGTCTCACGGGTCTCACACGGGTCTCACACGGGTCTCACACGGGTCTCACACGGGTCTCACACGGGTCTCTCACGGGTCTCTCACGGGTCTCACACGGGTCTCACACGGGTCTCACACGGGTCTCACACGGGTCTCTGTTGAAGGGAGGTGGTTATTCTTTAGAGCAAAGAGAAAACAGTCCCTGAGTAAAAGTGTGGACACAGATGTTGACTGGGTCTGGAGTAAAAACAGATTTTCTTTGGTGTTTTGTGAAGTGGGTAAAACTGTTTTTAGTGTCAGAATAACTGTGACCATTGACCTGCACTGGTCTAACACCAGAGACCTCTGTAAATACAACGACTGGATGGAGTATTTAACCCTCTCGCTCTCCTCACAGTCACATTCACCCAAAGACATTTGTTTTTCCCTCCGGCTCTTGGCGCGGGTCAATCAGACTCAAATATTTATTTTCTCACCTGGAGAGAGAGCGGGAAGGAAAAAAAATCTTCCAGGAGAGCATGAGGGTTAAAAAGTGTCTCCAACACTGTGGCTCGCGGGGAAATGAGGCTTTATGTGTAAAATTCCAGACTGTCCCTTTAAAGTTTCCTTCCCAACAGTGAGAGCTGATGTTCAGAGCTGACAGAACTTTAACACAGTTTTTACAGGAAATATGTCACAAAAATCACAGTTTTTAATCTTAAACAAATAAACAAGACTTTGCTGAACTCTTTTCTGTTTTGAGCCTAATTCTGATGTTTATAATTAAACAGTTTTAATTCAAATCCTAAACCAGAGTTAGCATGCTAAGCTAAGTGCAATGCAGCCAAAACACAAACTTCAGAAACTTTTCCCTGTGACAAAACAAACACGTAGGATGAATAAAAGTACAGTTCTTTTCACGTGTCAGTTGCGTCACCGCAGCGTTATTTCCATTTGTTTGTTGTTTTTGGAGGTTTTTTCTGCTGTTAGCTCCTCAGTTAGCTCCGGGCTAAACCTGCTGCTAACTCCACAAACTCACTCACACCTGATTTAAACCTTCGCACAGCGCGAGTCCTCCTCACCTGCCGCAGCTCCGGGGCCGCTGGAGCTTTTATTCGCGGTAAACGTGACTTTTGTTGGAGGTTTGTTTGTTTCCTGCAGGATCCTGCAGCTCTGGGACAAGCTAACACCGGCTAACACCGGCTAGCTCAGGTATCCCTCCGCCGCTCCGTGTACAGCCCCTGGCGGAAGGATACATGTGCTCCGGCTGCGGTTTTATTTTTAATTTATCCTCACAACAAGCGGTGCATTTAAGAACGAAACATGTCTACGTTTAGACAACACCACAGCGCTACGAAACATCGGAGAATATTTGTGATAAAAGTGTTTAAAGAGTGTTTTATACTCACATACTGCTGATGCCAAACCGGGGCTAATGCTAACCTCCTGCTGCATATAGACCCACTATGTCTGCGCTGCGCACGTGACACAAACACTGAAACTCCCCAAAAAAACTCCAAAAACCTCCAAAACTCCAAAATTCCAGCTTCAGGTTCAGAAAAATACCAAATAATCCTATACTAAACTAATCATATAAAGCAGGTCAAATATTCAGGAAGAACCTCTCAGCACGTGCGCGTTATTCTGAACTTAAAGGTCCGATTAAAGCAGAAAAACTAAAACATGCTCAGGAAAAAAATGTACATTATAATAAACATTCAGACATTCATAACAGCATTTTATTTATATACAGTTTTGTTTATTAAAACCTAATTAAGACACGCAAACTGTAGTTTAATCCAAAATTTGCCCACAAATAAGCAAATATAAGTGCTCTTAAAGTTTTACAAATTAACAGTTTACATAGGCACAAAATCATGTTTTATTCCCTTGAAACATACATAAAATTATTTTTGCACAAAGTGAAAAAAGCTTTGGAAATGTTGGTTTATTTGGATTTGGACGGAGACGTGCGTCATGACGTCACGGGACCGGAAGGAAGTGCCGCAGTGTTTGGGTTTTGCAGCTGCAGAATCACCAGACCTGAAAACAAATTCAACATTTAACTTCGACTTTTTCATTCGTTTTGTTTTTTCTCTTCAGCGCAGCGTCGGAGCCCAAACATGAACGTGACGCTCGCCGTGAAACAGTACGTCTCCAAAATGATCGAGACCAGCGGCTCCGGGATGAAAGTTCTGCTCATGGACCGAGAGACGGTGAGACGAGGACCGAGGGACAGAGGGACCGAGGGACAGAGGGACCGAGGGACAGAGGGAGGGACAGAGGGACCGAGGGACAGAGGGACCGAGGGACAGAGGGACCGAGGGACAGGCGGTGACAGGCAGTGAGAGGAGAGGGGGTAGCGTCGAGGGCGGGGACAGGAGGACAGGGACAGAGGGACAGACGGGGAGGGGACAGGGGACAGGGGACAGGGACAGGAGGACAGGACAGACGGGACAGACAGGACAGGACAGGGACAGAGGGACAGACGGGGACAGGAGGACAGGGACAGAGGGACAGACGGTGACAGGAGGACAGGGACAGAGGGACAGACGGTGACAGGAGGACAGGGACAGAGGGACAGACGGTGACAGGAGGACAGGGACAGAGGGACAGACGGTGACAGGAGGACAGGTGACAGAGGGACAGACGGTGACAGGAGGACAGGGACAGAGGGACAGAGGTGACAGGAGGACAGGGACAGAGGGACAGACGGTGACAGGAGGACAGGGACAGAGGGACAGACGGTGACAGGAGGACAGGGACAGAGGGACAGGAGGTGACAGGAGGACAGGGACAGAGGGACAGACGGTGACAGGAGGACAGGGACAGAGGGACAGACGGTGACAGGAGGACAGGGACAGAGGGACAGACAGGTGACAGGAGGACAGGGACAGAGGGACAGACGGTGACAGGAGGACAGAGGGACAGGAGGACAGAGGGACAGGAGGTGACAGGAGGACAGGGACAGAGGGACAGACGGTGACAGGAGGACAGGGACAGAGGGACAGGAGGTGACAGGAGGACAGGGACAGAGGGACAGACAGGTGACAGGAGGACAGGGACAGAGGGACAGACGGTGACAGGAGGACAGGGACAGAGGGACAGACGGTGACAGGAGGACAGAGGGACAGGGGGACAGAGGGACAGGAGGTGACAGGAGGACAGAGGGACAGGGTCAAAGGTTTGAGGGTAAAAGAGGCAGCAGAGGTGGTGATGGACACTGTAACAGTCAGTGTTACATTTATTTTACTGTTGATACTGTAATACTTGATTGCACCATGTGGTGGCGTCCTTTTATTTTTATTACACTGGAAGGTCACAGGTCACAGGTCGTCTCTTGTTGTGTTGCTGTGTGACGGACACACACGTCTGGGCTCAGGTCAGGTCATGTGCCGTGCCGCTGTTAAACCGACTCAGTTGTGTTTCATGTGTGATTCAGACTTGGTGCTGTGGAGACTCGGTGTCGTTTGGTTTTAAATGTTTAATAAACCAAGTGTCAGTGGAAACGAGTCTCGCTCTTGTCTCAGCT